CCTTTTTCCAGTGGTGCCATATAAATGTGTTGGGTTTTTTTAAATTCATAATATTCTTTGCATTATCTGTATGTTAGCAAGCTTCAGAGCTTCTTCAGAGATGGAGCTCATTTGAAGCCTGCAAAAGTGTTGCTGGCTATTAGGTTTTTCAGCCTCTATATTTCATTTTTCTCTAACATTTCAAGACTGGCCACTCAAACTGGTCCTATTAAATTTTAGTGTATTCCTTCTCTTCTACACTTGACTAAGAAGCCTTCAAAAATTAGGTATACTCTAGTCTGCCAGTGCTGACAGCTTAAACTGTTCTTGCAGGTCTCATCCAAGGGTACAAGTTTCTACACATGAGAACAGTAAACATTTGGATTTAGTCAGATTGTTTTATACAGACTTAGAGCTCTGCGATTTGCTTCACTGCACGTTTCCTCCTAACTGTCTAGGAAATGTGTGCAAAACAACATAGTATTTCTCCAGACTATATTCAATTTGAAGTCAGGCACCTGGAACCCAAAACATCACAGAATCATAAAATTGTTTAGGTTGGAAATGACCTTTGAGAACATTTGGACAGATACATGGATACAAGGTCCACCATGAAAACAGAAACAAGTGATGTATAGCCTCTACCAGGTAGCAATAACTATCCTTTGTAAATATGCAAATGTCTTGATCCCACTTGGGCTTTTGGCCAACGTTCAGCCTCACATCTTAACACCTCAGCCTCATGCATCACTGAGTTGCTGCCCATCTTGAGGTGGGCCCATTGCCATGGGTGAGCCCAGGCACCATTGCACCCCAGATGCCATGGCTGGGCTTGCTCACCTCTCCTCACAGCCATGTCCTATCTCTGTGGCCACCCTCACCCTGGCCCTTCCTGGGTGCTGTGCTTCCCCCTCCCACTGTTCCCCAGCATCTCTGCACAGAACAAACATCCACTACTGAGAGACAGTTCAGGTTTAGGGACACTGCAATAACACATCAAAACTAGATACTCCTTAATTAATCCTTCAGTTCCTTAAGCTTTTTGTTAAATCTCGCATCCTACAATCTGTGAAGATATCTTCTTTGCCTGGTAGCATGCTCAGATGAGGTGAGAGAATCTGACATTACTTTGCCTGGCTAGGTTAAAACTTCATTATACTTCTCATGGTGTACATATGGATATGGAAGGTAGCCTCACTATTTGCTCGGTCTAAATGTACCTCATGCTCAATCCTCTTGAATAAATGACTTCCACTGGAATGGATTAAAATTTAGGCTTCTCTGTCTACAATTTTGGATGCTCTTTCCTGAGCTGCTCAGAATTTTTGATTGCAAACACTGTTTGCTGGTGGTTGGTTTTTATTTGTTTGTTTTCCTACCATCAGAACATCATATTTGTAAATGCTGTATCACTTTTACTGTCAAATTCTTCCGTCTTTCTTTCTACAAAACCTTTCAAGAAACAAGCACTACACAATGGTACCTTGCTGGGAAAGTTCCCCATCAAAGGGAGCACTGTCTGAGCACTAATATGCATTCTGGCTTCCTGGGGGTCCTTGCCAAACTCTGCTGACACGTCAAATGCAGCAAAACTCTTGTTGTCAATATTATCCTCTAATGTTTTGTGCTTAACAGAAAATGAGGAAATACTGTAATTTCTTGCTCATTTTCTTATTTCTAGACATATATATAGATTGTTTGTTATCCATCACTATAACAAATTATATCTCTGAAGTTTTTGAAATTCCAGTACAATAAGATTATTCATTTCCTCCTTTGGGCTTTGTTCTACAGTGAAGCATTCTTGGAGGTTCCTCCAGCTCTTTACTGCTCTGGATGGGTTGGCATGTTTGGTCAGCAGCTCTACTCTCCCTTTCCTCTTCTTGCTCAGATTACTGATTGAAGTCAGCTTCTACATGAAGTGCAGAACCTCCAGTATTCTTGAACTGCACTTTCACAACTACCTTGACTCAGCAGGAATACAAGAAACACACACTTTGCAAACAGTCACTGTCAAATATAAGGCTCCAGGTCTGTGTATAGATTGAAGTCATGTTTAAACTGCCTTCTACTGTTTTCTATGCTTCCAGAAAGTTTCAGCTCTGTATGCATTTTCAGCATTTTATTTTTGTGCTACAAGGTAATCAGTGATGGCCCTATTTTAAGTGTGCACAAGAAATTCATTGTTCTTTGTCTCATTCCAGCTTGCTGAGGATAGCAACAACACTACACCCAGACTGTCAGTTTGAAGCTCAGGCTTAGAGATCTCAAGTTCATATGCTCTGACTGTTCTCATTGCTCATACATTGAGCTCAGACTTGGCTTAAATATGGAATTGGAAATCAAGGAAAGAACTTGCATCTTGCTTCTACAGACAGTTTAGATTAGATGAGCTTAAGCCAAATTAAATTGCAAGCAGCTCACATTCTGGCACAGTTTAATTAAGAAACTAAAGGTGTAAAAATCCAACCCAAACTCTGCCTGAGAAGCTCTGGCCTTTTAGGCATAATTCCCAGTAACAAACTGTGCAGCCCAGAGTGCAGGAACATGTGGATTTAAAGATGTCTGCTGAGTTCTTACTGTTCTTAGCAGGAGAGCCTGCTTTTATAGATGCAAGCTGCCATAAATTAGAATGATGTCACTAAATTGTTACACTGAATATGTCATTAGTTCAAGGTTAGATAAGGAAAAAGGAAGTTGACTGTAAAATAAGGACAATCGAATCCAGTTCTATTGAATCAGGTCCATAAGCAATCTTACCATAAATCTTACTTTGTACAAGGTCTTTAAATATTTTATCCACTATTTCCTTTCTTAATAGCTGAAAAATTTTCAACCGTCCCCACAATAGCAATACCATAACTATATGTGTATGTCCATGTGTATATATATACACAAACATATATATGTGTCAAAACCACACTAAGCAAGTTCAAGTTCTAAATTTGACTTACTCCCCCTAAGATGAATCTAGACTTGAAACTCTTTTTCTACCTTGCTGAAATAAACTTCAATTACACACTAGGAAATACTGATTTATATGCTTTTGTATTGCCTTATCTCTGCACCCAGACAATTCTGTAAGATGAGAGCAGTGAGATTCATCAAGAGATAACCCAGCCCACCCCTCCACCTAAAGGTAGGATTAGTAATGTTTCTCTCATTTTTCACAGATTGTTACCTAAGCTACACTTTAAGACTACTGGCAAAGCTGGCTGAACAAGTTCCCTTCCTTCCAATCCTTCATAATCCCCTCCTTGCTGTTTGAAATCCTCTTCCCTAGTATCTAACTTGAATCTTTATTGAGAGTGCAGAAGCATGACTTGTCCTATAAACATGGCCTCAGAGCATTCCCTCCTCATTGTGAAGGCCTTTTATTTTCTGGTATTATGCTCCATGACAGAATCTTCTAGGTGACATTAGGTAGCTTCTACTGTTTCATCACATTTTCTAGAACTCTCATTTCTTTCCCTTTCAGATGTTCTTCAGCCTGTATAGACTTCTTGAAATTCAACACAACTAAACACAGGTATCGTAGTTCATGAGGGACTCTTGTCTTCAATCCTCTATCAACACTGACAGCATGGCATTCTTCTGTTACACACTGTTTATGGTTATGTAGCTACACAATCTGTATTTTTACATCAGGAATGAAGAGTCAATAGATCCTAAGGGTAAGTCTTTACAGACACAATGGTATTATCTGATAACCAAGCATAAACTGAAACTAAGACTATAGGACAATTTTATTGGCTTTTTTAGTTGTGCTGATCATAATAAGCACAATTCTGATTTTGTCTTTGCCCTTGTTTTTTTTCTACCTTTAGCTAAGTACATAACATGCAATAATCGTTCATCAGTCCAGCCACTTCATGTAACTACTTAATATGGCAAAGTGGGAAGCTCATCTACTTAACTGAAAACCTCTATTAATATTGAATTTATCCAAAAGTTTAAAAAAAAAAAAAAAAAAAAAAGAGAGATATTAAAGTATGCTCTGGAAATAATTTATCTGTAGTCTTTATGAACCAACCATTCAACTCCGCTCCTAAACTTTCACAATAGACAGGGGCTGATACTAATGACCTTCTTTTGTGGAAATCCTTCCTCTTGCTTATTCAATACCAAATACTGGAACAGTTAGATATATTCAGGACAGTCTGCTCTGAGATAATACAAAAAATCCCTTATCTGTTGAAAGATGGCAGAGATTAGTGGATATATAAATTCTACCTTGTAAAACCTTTCCTGTCCAATAAAAATCTACAAAAAAAAAAAAAAAAAAAAAAAAAAAAAAAAAAAAGAGAACAGTGAATGAAAGTAGGTAGGAGGCACAAAACTGTTCCAACTACAAAGAGAAGAGACACAGTAATGTAGGCAGCAACAATAACCCATATAATGACTGATAAGCCATGGATAAAAAAGGAAATAGAATCCAAGAAAAGAACTGTTAAATTCATTGCAGCGCTCTCCTGTTTGATACAAAGGCATGGCTTGCTGGCTGTGGTGGGAGAGAAATGAGAACAGTATCTTTATGTCTGTGGCTCTAAACCAAAGGAATTAAAGGTCCCATACAGAAGAATGTGAATTTACCTTGGTTCCATTTTCACAGTCCACAGATTAGAAACAGTGTTGAACTTAGGGAGCCAATAGTGTTCCCTTAGTAGTCTCTATATCAGCTATTTGAAATATATTGAAAATTAAAGTGATAAGATTACCTCCTGCTTAAGAAAGCACATTGATTCTTTAAAAATATGAGCAAAATTAAAGATGAATTTAAGAAAATTACTTATGGCACAAAAAGCATATTAACACTGCCTACATTATTATTTATAGAGAAAGGAGGTTATTTTGTCTGAGGTGACAAATTACCCTTCCATGGCACAAGAGAAAAAATAGTTTACAAGTTCAAGCTGTAAAGTTATTAAACAAGACCTGACTGTACTAAGAAAGGCACAACATATTAGAAAAGTCAATTTCTTAAATTAAATGGCAAATCAGCAAGTGGATGAAGGACTGACCTTGGATCGGGGTGGTGCTCGGATGTACCATTTACAGTCTACTGCCTCAGTTTCAGAAGCTTTTCCTTCTTTGACAATTTGTACAGATTCCACAATTCCTTCAGGTCCTCCCATCTCAAACTCACAAACTGAATAACAAAATACCAGAAAAAATGAAACCTGAACAGCAAACAAAAGTATTTTCTACAGCAGAGTGCAAAGGCCTCCAAGTTAAAAAAAAAAAAACAAAACAAAACCAAAACACAAAACAAAACAACCAAAAACCAACATACCAACCTGGCAATGGTTTCAAAGCACCAAGGTCCTTAAAATCGGGATCTTAAAAATTGAGAAAAAGAAAATTAGTTTTGTTCAATATCTTAGCTGTAATGTCAGTGTTCAAAATTTGACAACACACTTCAGTGATATAATTCTACATTTCCAGGAAATGAAAAAAGTTTCAAAATTATGACAACATACTAGTTATTAATGCAGAAATTTCTGAAACTTTTGTACCAAGTTCTTTTCTTTTTCTGTTAGGAAACCCTGCTTTTCTCTGTCTCCCTTTCAGAAGAGAGAGCTGAAAAATATTGCTGCATACACTAGCAAGAACATCACACAGCTAACCACTGTTATTTTAATACATCAGTCTGATGAAGGAGGATATATTTACAGATCTAGTCACAATCCTTTTGCCTACTTTGCATTTTGCAATATAAGACTCAACTTAACTAGAGAAATTTAAGCTTCATTCTGTGTTTATGAATACTCTGCCATCCCTGCCAACAAAGAGGAGACACTTTCTTTGTCAAGAATATCCATTTGGTCTTCCTGGAATAGACACCATAAGGATTTACCATGGAAATCATTGTGGTAACACGGTAATAATTCTAATACATGTGCTATTTTCAGTCATAAACATTATTATATTTACTGTCTGAGATGTTTCTATCATGCATTTATATCCAGGTATAACACAGATGAAATTAGTTTGGGCTTAGACGTGCTTCAGTAGATAACTATAACCAGAAAAATAATAATTTCACAAAGTTTGGCTCAGTTTGGAGATACTGTCCAAGTCTCAAAGTGTGAAAGAAGCTAAAATATTTCAAGACAAGATGATATGTTTCAGAATATATTGGTCTTGTCTGGGACATTTTTATCACTTGTACTGCTTTTCTACCAAAAATGAATGGTTTTTTTGCACTGTTTTTCGCATTTTCAGGAGGAAAAACCCTGAGAAAGAAATCCACCAGATTATAGAGGACCAGGTTGGAAAGGACTTCAAGAATTTCCTGATCCAGCCTTTCCTGGCAAAAGCACAGTCTAGACAAGATGGCCCAGCACCCTGTCCAGCTGAATCTTAAAATTGTCCAGTGTTGGAAAATCCACCACTTCCCTGGGGAGATTATTCCAATGGCTGACTGCTCACACTGTGAAAAATTTTCCTCTTGTGTCCAGTCAGAATCTCCCCAGGGGTAGCTTATACCCATTAACTCTCCTGTTTTCCATGTAGAAACAGAATTTCCTTGCAGAAATAGATTCTCCACCTTCTTTGTAGCTACCCTTTAAATACTGGAATATGGTGATGAGGTCTCCCCTAAAACTTCTTTTCTCAAGGCTGAACAAACCCAGTTCTCTCAGCCTTTCCTCATACAGTAGCTCCCCCGTGCTTTGATCATCTTTGTGCCCTTCTCTGGACCCTCTCTGTCCTGTTCACATCTTTTTTTGTATAGCAGGGACCAAAACTGAACACAGTACTACAGGGGGAGTCTAACAAATGCTGAGTACGGTGGGATAATGAGTTCTTTATCTCTGCTGGTGATGCTCTTGCTGATGCAACCCAGTATCTTCTTGGCTTTCCTTGCCACAGCAGCACACTGTTCACTCATATTGAGCTTGTTGTCTACCAGGACCTCCAGGTCCCTTTCCACAGAGCTGCTCTCTGGCCAGGTAGATCCCAGCTTGTGGTGCGCTCATAGATTACTTTTTCCAGGTTCAAGACCTTACGCTTGTTGCACTTCATAAGGTTTTTGTTAGCCCTCTCTTCCACACTCTCCAGGTCTTCCTGCAGGGTGGCTCTCCTTTCTGAAGTGTCCACTTCCTCAGTCACTTTAGTATCATCAGCAAACTTCTCAAGAGTACACTTGATTCTGACATCCAGATCATTTATTAATGTATTAAACAATGTTGGGCCCAGTATTATCACCGGGAGATATTACTTTGACAGGTTGCCACTTTGAAAAAGAGCTATTTGCCTTCATCTTCTGGGTGTGGCCTGTCAGCTAGTTCCTCACCCACTCCATGGACCATTTGTCTAAACTGTAACATACCAGTTTCTCTAGGAGGAGGCTGTTTGGAACCATATCAAAATCCAAGTAGACAATGTCCACCGCTTACCTCATATCAACCAAACAGGTTACCTTGTTGTAGAAGGCAACCATGTTTATCAAGCACAATTTGCCCTTGGAGAATCTGTGCTGACTTTTCCCAATCTCTTGCTTCATCTAACTTGTGACAAGGATTTGTTCCATAACTACCTCATAGTCTGAAGCAAAACTGATGTGTTTATGATTTCCTGGGCCCTCCTTTAAGCCCTTCTTGTAGATGGGAATGACATTTGCCTTTTTCCAGCTTCTGGAACACACCTCAGCCTCCATGACTTCTCAACGGTTTTGAAGCGCAGCCTCATGACGACATCTCCCAGCTCTCTTAACACCCCTGGTTGAATAACATTTGGGCCCATTGATTTGTAGGGGTCAAGCTCCTTTAATAGTGCATGTATGACCTCTTCCTTCACTGATAGCAGGTCTGTGTTCGCATCAACCCGGAATTTTGTTCCCAAGGCCTGCAGCCCAACAGTGTTGGCAAAGACAGAGTTGAAGAAAGTGTTGATAAATTCTGCCTTTTCATCTTTGTTGGTGACTAACTGGCCTGTTAACTCCTGTGTAACAGCAGGCCAATATTTTGCTTCTGTTTCTGCTGGTTATTTACACACCTAAAGAACCCTTTCTTGTAGGTTTTGACACCTCTGGCCAATTTTTATTTGAGTTGAGCTTTTGTTTTTCTAACTGCAGCTCTTCATAACCTGTCAATGCCCTTGTAGTTCTCCCTGGGTGTTCATCTACTTTTCCATCTCTGGCATGCTTTTCTTTTGTTTCTGAGCAGACTCAAAAGCTTACAAATAAACCAAGAGAGTGTCTTGCTCTGCCTACTTCCCTTACCTTTCAAAGGGATAAACTATCATTTGGTTTCCAGAAAAGCATTCCTGAAAAACTCCCAGCACTTGCTAGCTCCCTTATCTTCCATGAAAGCTTCCCACAGAATCCCTCCCAACTGAACTCTGAGCCAGATGAAGTTTGCTCTTCTAAAACCTAAAAACTTTTTCTTAGTGCTAACCTTCAGAATGCTCAACAGGATTCCAAACTCCACAATATCATGATCACTACAGCCAAGGCTAACACCAACCAAGATACTATAAAGGAGTCTTTCTTGGTTTACGAGTTGCTATGGCAGATGTACTTACCCTGACAGAGGCCTAACAACAACAAGGGCTTACCAAAGACCTGACAATATCTGGGGCTAAAGATCAGGAGGGTTTGTGGTTACTATTACTTTGTTTTATGTCATTGGCTTGCCTGTGTTGTGCACTTGACCCCAGCTAATTGGAATGATCACAGTTCAGACTCAACTAGGTCTTCTGCTCACCACTCATCCAATACAGAATGATACTATCATTAGCAGGCAGACCAGCAGCCAAACTTCTCCTTCTACTCCCACATCACACACCATAGATCCAAAGGGCCAGACAAAAAGAGGAGGAACAAGTCAATGCACTCACCCACCACAGGGGATGTAAAGAAGAGAGCAAGCCAGCCAAGGACACAAGGCACAGGCAATAATAGCAGCCAGCCCATGAGCCTAACTATATACAAGGGTCTCTGCTTCATGTTCTGGCCCTGCCATCCTGGGAACTCTACTTGCCATGAAGAATCAGAGAACCCTTCCAATAACCAGAATCCCCACACAACCCCACTACAACTAGAGTCACTTCTTATAGAGGTGGCTTCTTGACCCCCCTCCAAGTTAATGTGGAAGGTGGGAGCACCTGGTGGTGATCTCCTCATCAGTTCCCACCCAAGGCTGGCCAGACCCTGGGTGAAAACCAATCAGGAGGGTCTTTCTTGCCTGGTTGTGGACATCATCCACATGCCAACCCTCATTCAGAGATGGTAATATAATCCCGGCACTTTCCCAAGGTATATAAATGGACCCCCACTGGAGAACAATTTAAGTCTGTCCTCCTCAGAGCAGTAGGTCTGTAGTCAGGGACTCTCCCCTTGGAGAACAGCACCTTCCAAGGAAGATTCCCAGGATTGAATGAGACCTCACCCCTACTTTGGTGAAAGAATACATCTTCTGGAGATATATCTATCTATCTCCTTGAGTAAGCCCTTGCCCTTTATGAGTGAGTGATCCTTTTCCAGACACCCTTGAGTGGGAGGTTTTCCCTTTTATGAGTGAGTATCTATACATTTTGGGTCACCTTTCTAGAATAGTATTCAAAAAATTGAGGACCCAAACTTGCAATTTACTTTGGTCTGTCAGAGTGCTGTGTAATTTTTGGACAGAACAAATAATCTTTTTTGGTAGCTACTGCAGTCTGTTTTGTGGGTGCCTCTGCAGCAGTAGCAAGTTCAGCAGTGTCTCATTCCTGGTTGGCACATCCAACATTTTTATGAGATAGTTCTTTATGCATTCCAGGAACTTGATGGATGACGTGAGCTGTTGTATTCTTCTCGTAAGTGTCTGGGTAGTTGAAATCACCTATAAGAACCAAGTTCTGTTGTCCTGAAGCTTGCTTAAGTGACCCAAAAATTGCTTTGTTGGTTTTATTGTCTTGATTTGGAGGTCAGCGGAGATGCTTACAATAAGATCCCCCTTAGAGACAGCTGCTCTGATCTTGACCCAGAGCCATTCTGTATTGTTTCCAGAATCACCGTAGTGGACTTCTATACATTCAAGCTTCTTCTTAACACAAAGCACAACTTCTCCTTCCCTTTACCCTGCTTGTTTTTACAAAACAGCCTGTAGCTGTCCTCCAGTAGTAATCCTCCAGTGATGTGAGTTGTTCTAGCATGTTTTAATTATTCCTGTGATAACTTTCTGACTGGGCATGGAGATTCAGTTGTTCCTGTTTGCTCCCCAGCCTGCAAACATCAGTATACATACAATTAAGGTGGTTGGCCTTCTGGTTCACAACTTGGGAGGCAGCTAAGGAGGAATGGTCTCTGCTCTGGTTGGCCAACTTGGTTGCAATGGCATGAGCATTGCCACTT